TCCATGGGAAATCTCCCTCCATTTATTTCCCCTTCCTCTCCCCTAGCCTGCCTGTTACCATTAAAGCACCAACTCTACCATGTAAGGATCTATTTATTACCAATACCCTTGCTTTCCAATCTATGGGTTGCCACTGCTGCAGGGACAGGCATAGCAGGTCTAGCTACCTCCCTGACCTATTATCGCTCCCTCTCCCAAGATCTTTGTGACAGTCTCAAAGAAACAGCTAAGTCCATTCTTACCTTACAGAACTAGATAGACTCCTGGCAACAGTAACCCTCCAAAACTGTAGGGCCCTAGATCTTCTCATAGCCAAAAAAGGTGGTCTATACATCTTTCCAAGAGAATAATCTTGCTTACCAATGATTCAAGCATAGTACAAAACATAGCAAAAAGGCTAACTGAAAAGGCTTCAAAAATTAGACAATGCCTGTCCTACTCTTGGACAAATATTTGGGGCTAGGCCTCATAGCTCCTTCCATTAACTGGGCCTCTTGTCTCTATTTTCCTCCTCCTCATTCTCCTCCTCCTCTTTTGGCCATGCCTCTTCAGGGTTTTTTCACAATTCCTACAAAATCGAGTTTAGGCTATCACCAATCAGTCAATGTGACAAATGCTAGTTCTGACCACTCCCTGTACTGTCCTATCCCTCCAAAATTCTCTCCTAATTAAAGTGTCCATGTGACCCCATATCCCCTAAACATAAAAGCCATGAGAGACAACATCCCTCTCCTTAATTCTCCCACCTTTTATAACAACAAAAAGATGGGAATGTCATGCCCAAAAGGTGAGACCTATCATCATTGCAGCCTCTCGGGCCAGACTGCAGCACTGAGTGCAGCCCAGATGCCATCAAGCCTCAGCAGCAGATGTTCAGAAACCTCAAAGAAGAAAAAAGACAAGATAATGCCCATCCTGAGAAGTTTAACCTCACTCTAGCCACCCCGCCACAAATTCCTCAAGGCAGTGACTCCTCCCCTTCCCTTTAAATTATTTGCTGTCTGCTTGCAGGCTTCTGAATCCCCTTTCAGATTCAGCCTGCTCAACACCTACCCAAGTGTAATAAACAAGCCTCACTGCCCACAAAATGCTTGCCCAGGTGGTCTTTCTCCTCTCCACATCTAACAGAAGCAGCATCTCTGATATCTATCCACCAGAATGCCAATATATCTACTTAGGTGTGATATTCAAATTGTCTTTATGGCACTGCCAAGCATCCTTCAAGGAGGAAAATCAACCCCAGCTGATTGTCAATGGTTAAGAACCAAAGGAAAATAAATTATTCCCACATTAATAAGGTGATCCTATGCCTCACAAAGAGATACAATATTTTCAAATGGAGGGCTTCTCCAACTAAATTATGGTGTATCCTTTACTATGGTATGTATGCCTTTAAGCCTTAGTATCTACGGAGGATGAAAAACAGCTCTAGATTTCTAACAGTTCAACTACTCTATGGTTCTAAATTGTTTACTTTCATTAACTGCTGGGAAGTGGGCATGAAACCTAAAAACAAAGTAATGGAAACTCAGACATGAAGGTTGATAGGTCTCCCACTACCTCAGCAGCTATTATGTATAGTAGCTGCCCTCTTCCTATCGTGCCTTGCCCCCTCCCCTGTGTGATGTTATGCCAAGATGGTTGCTCCCACCAAAGAATAAACCCTTCTTTCCAGCATGCCCCTGTTCCCGCCTAGAAAGTAACCTAATACTCACTCACCTCCTACCAGCTAGTGACATCACCGGCTCCTCCATTCCCTAGTCACTACCTCACTCAACCCCACCTCAGCCCCTACAAACCCCACCCCAGTCTCTATAAAAGACTCTCCCTGCCCCGGCCATATTGCTTTTGTCTCTCCTTTGTTCAGAGACAGCCTGGCAGATCTATTCCCCTAATAAACGTTTGTTGTGGACTGGTCTGGTCTTGGTTTTCAGCCCTTTTACCTGATAAAGGTAGGGCATGGCTAAAACTGACTGGGAAAGGAGATGTGACAAGATCCTGAAACACATGCACAGAACAGTTCTCAAAGTCCTTTATGTGGACTTCTTTTAAGAACTCAAGCAGCTTTTCAACAGGATGCCCTGCCTAGACCTGACATCAGCCTGAGGAATGGATGATACAAAAAGGATGGTCCACATTGAGTTTTGGCCATTGTGTTTTCTTCTGCATGGTGGCTCCCCATCACACTGTAAGTATACTCCTTTTCCTACTTTTACTTGGCCCAAACTTGCTCTATTCTGCCTATTTCTTTTCCTACCTTTAATAAAACTTTGCTACTGATACAGGGTGTATGATATAGGGATGATATACAGACCTCCAAATAATATAAGGGAAATATTATAACTCCCAACCTGCTTGATGTCCAATACACTGAGTTTTTGTTCTCTAAAAGTGAAGAATGAATTCTAGGTACAACAGAGGTTAAGAGTAGAAAGCATTTGAGAGATAGATAGCTTCTGTCTAAGAGAGAAAGAAGGGGACCCAGAAAGTGGGTTGCCCATGGACCCTGCTTCTCAAGGGAGTTTTATAGAACAAAACCTCCAGATGAGGCAGGTATAAGGTAGGACCAAACTATAGTCAACTAATAAGATTGTAAGTATAGTTGCTCAGGTAATATTGATCCAATGGAAAATTACAAGGTGGGTATGATGTGGGAAAAAACTATGGTCAACTAATAAGATTATGAGTATAGTCACTTAGGTAGTATTGACTAAACAGGGATCAGATGGGGAAGCAAGTCATGTAGGAAGTGTACATGGGCCGAACAAGGACTTTCCGGGAAGGAATGGGCTAGTGAGGTTTTGGTCTCTGCCCAAGGTGTTTGATGTCTATTTAGAATATCAATCACTGCTATTTATCCCTAGGGGATATATGTGGGTGTCATCGAAGCCTGACCTTCAATGAATGCACCTTCAGCCATAGTTGTAATATATTCTTCTGCATTGACTCTCTCAATAGCCCAGCCCTGTCTGATTGCTTGTAATATTTTAACTAACTTAGCTGTCTATGATACATTTGTGCTTGTCCTGACCAATTCTTTGCTTGGGATAGAAAGAACCTAGAAATCACCTCCAGATGGAGACTCTAGCACCCCAAAACCTGGTAACAAAACTACAATAAAGTAATGAACATTCAGAAGCAATACTGAAGTAAGGGAAGAAGTGAAAACTAGATAGAAAGGAGACAAGGTAATTGGGATTTTTTAGAATTGTATTTTAAAGAAAAACTGCAGTTTAAGAACACAAACCCAGTTTATTTACTTTTTCTCTCCCTTCTCCCAAAACAGAGTAAACCTGGGCAACTCCCTTTCATCTACAAAGGGGTTTCCACCCTTCCTTTTTTACTTGCAAATGGTCCTCTATCAACCATGATTGGGCCACCCTTTTAGGATTTCCCAGATGAATGGACCATTATCACACTGAGTGGGCCATCTTCTCCAACCCACTAGAAAAGACTAAGACTATAGATTACTGAATTTCTCAGACGCCTACCACTAAAAACACATAAAAGATCCCCAGTTTCCAACTGTATCATGACTCATTTTTCTGAGCACCTGCACTCCTCTCTAGTGTGTCCAATGTCTACCTCTAATAAACCCTTCTCATGTCTCTTAGTGACATGTCCTTTTCTACAATGGGAGTCAGTGAACCTCCAAACTTATTTTAAAAGGGTAGATTATTCTTAATTCTGCTTAGAGGACCAGACCCAGCCTGGTGACAATACCTCTAAGACTGTAGTATACTGTTGGAAAATATAACTATTTTTAAAACTATGGCATTAAATTATAAGTACATTTATATCTAAAACAGTATTGTACAAAAATGAAATATAATGTAAGCCACAAGTATATTTAAAATTTTCTAATAACCTAATCAACAAAGAAAAAACTAGGCTAAATTAAATTTAATAATGTTTTTACTTTTTTGCTTTTGGTACTGGGGATCGAACTCGGAACCTTGCACTTGCGAGGCAGGTGTCAGGACCACTAAGCTAAATCCCCGGCCCTGTTTTTACTTAACATATCCAAAATACTATTGTTTCAATGTGTAATCAATGAAAAATTATGAGATTCAGCATATACATTTATAGTATATATAAATTTGCCCTAGGCACATTCTAGCATTCAATAGCCACATGCAACTAGCAGCTACATTAATGACAGCCAAAGAATAAGGCCAGATGAAGAACTCAGTTTTCATCTTTACCAAAGAATGAAATGTATCATGTACATAGATTACCCATATTTGAAGCTTACCTTTCAAGCACAGTTTCTCCTTTATTCATGAATAAGGAATCTTTGTAAACATAATACATATCACAATACCTTTCAAACAAAGGATTACAATAAATATAGTTGATGTTTTGCTTAATAATTTTTATGTTTTAATCTTAAACATATACCCAAAATTCTCATGTATTAATCTATTGATGACCTACGTAGCTGACTGTGCTGTTATGAGGTAGGGCCTGGTAGGAGGTGAGTCCCCGGGAGTGTGACCTGGAAAGGTGTATTATTGTCCTGGGCTCTTCCCTCTGCTTCCTGGCTGCCTTGGGGTGAGCAGCTTTCCTCCATTAGGCCCTTTTACCATGCCATTTCGGCCTTGGAACCTGCTGACTATGGACCTAACCTTCTAAGACTGAGAGCCAAATAAACCTTTCTTTCTTTAAGTTGTGAGTATCACATATTTTGCCCCAGTGATGGGAAAGCTGACTAATAAGTATGATATATTTATAATATTTTTTACAGTAGAATAGTTTTACTAATGTAAAACTTTTAGAAGTAGAAAAGTATTGTGATGTATTTAAATCTATTTGTTGAAATCCAAGTTAAATTTTGAAACAGTGGGCCGGGGATTTAGCTCAGTTGTTTCACCACCTGCTGCACAAGTGCAAGGACCCAAGTTCGATCCCCAGTCCACAAAAAAAAAAAAAAAAAAAATTTAAAAAGTACTAGTGCATCATCCATTAATTATGCCAGTTTAGCACCAGCACTTACTTACCTTTTGGAACTGCAGGTTTAATTGCCATTCTGCCAACCAGGCATTCTTTCAGCATGGATTCATAATTGACCCAACGGTGAACCTGGCATGAGAGACAAATGGCAGAGAAGTAACATGACTAATTTCACAGGATGATCTTATTTTATCTTGAGCAAAACTAAGCCTTCTTGAACACTCTGAAACAGAAGCAGTGTTCTTGGATTACAGTCTATAGACTTTTGAAGGTTTCTGATACTGTCAGGTACGCCTGCAGTCTTGATTAGTTCCATGAGAACACCATGATGATGCAGCGGAACCTCAGCTGACAAACTTATTTGTTTTATGATTTGGGGGAAGATGGGTGCATTTGTGTTTGTGTGAGAAGATGGCCAGGGTTGTTTGTCACCCGATGTAGAGTTTGTAAATGGAAACAAAATTTTGTCAAACATTTTGTTTTAGAACCAAACTGTTTGTGAACAGAAGCGTTTGTGATCCGAGGTATTACTATATTTGCCTTTTTCTTGGTTTTCACATTTGCAATAATTCTATATGCAGTGGTGGGTAAAACTGCTAGTGTCTTAGCACTAATCAAGGCAATGACTCCAAACCATACTGGTAATCATTCTTCACCACTATGGGTTGGAGGAAGATTTAACAATGTTCTTCACAAAGTAGAAAAATTATTAATTTACTTAAATCTAGACAGTCAGGACAGGTCGCTTTTATATTCCATGTGACAAAATAGTAAGTTCTCACAAACCATTTCAATGTTAAGTATGGTAGTCATCTTATGAAAAAACCTTAGCAATTGTTTGATTTGCAAATTGAATGGGATTTCTCTTGAGCCATTAACACATGAAAGAGTAACTAATGAACAAACTGGTTATTCCAATTTTGGTACTGATTTAACAGCTGTTTTCTTTTTTTTTTTTTGGTACTGGGGATTGAACTCAGGTCCTTGTGCTTGCACAGCAGGCGGCGAAACCACAGAGCTAAATCCCCAGCCCTAACAGATGTTTTCTTGAAAATGAACAAAGTAAAATTATTACTTCAAAGAAAACAACTCATAGCCATTTATTGCTACCAGTAGGAATTAAATTTAAACAACCTTTCTGAAAGGCCCCTTTTCAATATATCTAAAAGCCTTAAAATGTTCAGTGCTTTCACTCAGATACTGTATTTAGGAATTTAGCCAAGAAAATATCTATATATACATAACGATGCAAGTATTAGTGTAGAAAATAGTTTATTTAGTTAGCTTCTGAGAAAGGCAGCTAGCTAGCTGAAAGGCCTGTGGTACAGATGGGTGTCCAGTCATATCGATAAAAACTAAAATAAGAAAGAACAGTGAACTAGGACTTTGAACAAAGAATGAACTTCCTCAGGCAGCATGGAATTCAGCCTACTCCCTACTAAAAGAAGGTATAACCACTTCCTACTAAGCTCTTAAGTTCTGAGAAACTTAAAATGCAAAATAACAAGTTTCCTTCTCTAAAATCCCAATTTCCATTAATCTCTATATGTTGAAGAACTGGCTTAGAGAGCCTAAATTCCAACTGGTCATTTTAAATCCAGAGCTACCTATGATAGGTGGCCACTAAACAAATGACCAATTCCTGTGCTCTGCTTATCTATAAGTGGCTCTGGACTGAGAGGCTAAATAGCCACCCACTCAGGACCCCTCCTGGAAATGCAGGCACTATCCTTCTCATTTCCAATAAAACTCTCCTAACCTCCTCCTTTGGTCCATGACTTCATTCCAAGATGTTGTGAGATTACAAACTTGGCACATCTGATATCTAACAGGTTGAGAGTTATTTTTGTCATATTTCTAGGATACTCATCATACCACTACTTCAATTAGGAAAATACTGGAACAAACTTACTCTTCAATTATAGAAAAATCAGAAAAGAAACATTCATAAAGTGTTATACAAACATTAAAATAGGCAGGTCAAATATTGATACAAGAGGACTGAGGATTTAGCTCAGTGGTTTCGCCACCTGCTGCACAACAGCAAGGACCCGAGTTCAATCCCCGGTACCAAAACCAAAAAAACATTTAAAAAAAAATATTGATACAAGAGTATTTATATTACTCAGCCATAAAGAATGAGAATTAGAGACATTTATAGCTAAATGGATGCACATTGAGCCGATACTCTTAAGTGAAATAAATAAGAGAGACATGTAAATACTAGTTTCTCTGGTGTGAGGAAGACAAAGTGTTAATAAGGATCAAAAGGCATAATAGATATTGTGAAATAGGAAGAAAAGGTCCACAGGGGAAGGGGAAGTGGGAGAGACTGGGGAAAGGAAAGAAGGGAATGGAATTAATCTGAAAAAATGGAAAGAAAGTCTTTGCAAATAGGGAGGGGTGGAGGGGTTGAAGGGAAGGCAGGGAAATGGGGAAAAAATAAGAACCAAGACAGATTATGTAAAGGTACAAATTTCCAATGATGAATGTCATTATATTGTATACCTGGAATGTACCAATAAAATGAATTTTTAAAAAAAGTTATTTATGATATGATCCTGAGTAAATACATAACATTAGAATAGCACATGTTTTAAAAAACACACGTGTTTATAAACAGGCACTCATCTAGCAATATACAGTACAATGAAATTTTATTTGCCAGATTTTGTATGGAGCAACCACTAATATGTAAAGCACTATCTTTGAGAATATGAGGTTAGGTAGAATTTAAGTCAATACATAAAGGAGAAAGGTATTCAAGCAGAGCAAAGTATGGGGTCAATCATGGGAATGATTGAAAAACAGCAAGTATGTTAGTTTGGTCAAGAAGAATATTTACCCTGATATACCTTCCTTAGGTTCTCATATACTTAGCAAATGACTAAGTTTATTCCACTGCTACTAGTAAGCCACTGAGAGCTGATCCTATGAAAACAAATCTAGCTATTATATTACCTAAATTGGTACTGAAGATAGGCATCTCAACTATATTAAAATAGGGCTACAGAAGATGATGATGACTTGAACTAAGGCAGTGGGAACTGAGGTAAGAAACAAGAAATAAAGATAAGTAGAAAGGAAGTATGGAAAATTGTAAATTTAAAATTCCACTTTTAAGGAAACTGCAATTTCAAGATACAAAGTTACTCAAGATTATCCACATCTTACTCCCTATCTTTACTCCCAGGCTTGTTTGTATTTCCTAGGCTGTTTGTTGTCGTGTTTTGTTTTTCCAGGCCCATCACTCCCAAATCTCTTAAATATACTCTAAATCTATAAGTTAACCTAGTTGTTAAAGTAAAAGGGCAGCAACTTTGATCTAATTAAGTAAAGAAACAGATTGAAGGGTTCTGAAAATGTTTTTAGACAAAACATCTTACATCATCCATTTTAAAGGATAACTTCAATACCTACATATCCCAATCCTACAGGGTGCATCTCTCTTGAGGATGCTAATCTATTTTACTTGAGTGTGTACTTCTTTAACTCTTCCTAATAAAATCTGTGTATGTCTCTCACTAATGAATCCTGAAGCTCTTTTTTGGTGATGAGAAAAGGTGGAGTTGACACGCTGAGTTGAAATCCCAATCTCTTCTTTGGGAGAATTTCTCAGACTCCGTCCAGTGACAAGAAGGAAGAAAAAAGTGTAATGTTTAAAGAAATACCATAGGATTTGGCCAGTGACAGAATACTGAGGCATAAGGTAATTATTCACAGGTTCGAGTCCCTATTATCAGAAACCAAAATTAGGAAAAAGAGAAAAGAAAATAAGTTGATATTATTTGAGAACACACTAAGTTGAAGAACTGCTCACAGGTAATCAAACTGCTCATCAGGCATTTTGAAATTCAAGACAAGAGATCAGGACTGGGATTAAAACTGGAGATAGAAATATGACAATAAAAAGATTAATACTTTTGGACAATTCAAATACTGGCCACAAGTAAAGTTTTATCCTGAAAGATCCAAGAAGCTTCACCAGTTTTTCAAATACAAAGTTGCTTATTTACATGGTAAGTAAAAGCCATAAATATTGGTCTTATTAGAGCCAAGGAAAATGCAGAATCTGGTAAGCAATGTATATTTTTACTACTAAAGAACTTAATATAACACTCCCCAATGCCCCCCCACGTTGGTACCAGAGATCGAACCCAGGACCTTGCACTTGCCAGGCAGGTGCAGCGCCACTGAGCCACATCCCGGGCCCGAGCACTTCTTGTGACTTCTCCCAGACAAGTTTTCCTTAAATAAAGCCCATATAAATTCACAATACTGAGGACCATATAAACTCATGACTCTGTGGAATATAAATAAGCCTAGATTATACTGAAAATTATTCTTGTGGAAGAAATATCAAAACTTACAAGGCAGATAAAAGACAAACAATGGCAGGCCAGTTTTTAGGCAAATGTTCCTAAAACCTTTCTATCTGGCTTGCCTTGCTAGATAATGACAAATATCAACTGACATTGGGAACTTGCTTTAAAACAGCAATAAGAACCCCCTAATGAGAATGCTATCATGACCAATGGGCAAACATGACTTAAACCCAGGAAGAACATTAAAACAGTCAATGAGACTTTGCCATTTAAACAGCTGCAAAGTACTACTTCTAAGTATAAAACAAATTATATTTCTGGAAACCTGGTCAAAAAACACATACATAAATGAGAAGACCATATGAACAGAAATCAAATTGTATTTGATCAAAAACAACTATAAAATGACTCAATCTGGTTCAGGTATCTTCAATCATAAAACCTAAGTAGGATAAACCAGGTAAGTATCATTAAAATACAAAATAAAGCACAAGTAAAGACCAAAGGCAAATTTCTCTCCTTCTAAGGATTGTTTGTTATCTCAGAATACCAGTTCAGCAAATTGATAGTAACTCACATATTCTGCACAGCTCCTAAATAGTATAAGAACTAATGCTTATGAAAATATGAGGGAAAGTGATTAATTTAAATATCTTTTGAGATACAAGAATCTCTTGTATCACTCTAGGAAAAAATAAGGGTTTTTTTCACTAAACAGCTTCAGCTAACTTTCTGAATGATAATGCAGATTCAGCACAGCAAGCCAATATGAATGTATAGCAATCCCAAATGAAGAAAGACTAAGAGCAGAGAAGCATGATTCAGCAAGTTAGCAGCAGATCATAGCAGCAGATCACAGTGTTCCTTCTTCCAAACATTACTGTTTCCCATAAGTCAATTATCATCATTATTAAAAGTAATCAAGACCAGGCCAGGTATGGTGCTGCATGCCTGTAATCCCAGCACTCTCGGAAGGCTGAGGCAGGAAGATCGCCATGAGTTTGAGACCAGCCTGGGTTATATAGGGAGACCCTGTCTCCAAAAACAAACAAACAAGCAAACAAACAAAGTAATCAAGACTGAGGAAACACTAACAGAGGAGACTAAAAGCATGCCAGAGATATGAAACCATCTCTAAATTTTTAATAAAACAATCCAAAAACAAGTTAAATGAACAGCTGCTACCTGTGAACATGTGCCTATATTTAAAAGTTCAAGACAACACATTTGAGATACATAAGTGTCTTTTTTTCTATCTACAAATATCACACTGCCAAAGCTATGAGCACTCTTCCATTATAATAACTTGGATTATTTTCAGCACTTTACCTCATCAAAAAGGTCAGTACCATCTGATCCTGCTGCTCTCATTAGTTCATCTTCTCCACCAGGATGATATTCCATATATGGACTGACATTATAAACATACCCTGTAACAAAGCAAAGAGAAAAACTATTCTAAGTGACCTTAAAAATTATAAAATCTATAAACGTAAGTACCAACATATCTTTCCCAATACATTTTACGTAACAAATCTGTGTTAGCATATAAAGCCTGATGTAGCCCACATGTTCTCTGCTACTTCATAGCCCTTTAGACTGACTCTTAGCCTCTCATAATTCTACCTCCTTTATGATACACTAGGACCAATCCACAGCTGAGAAGAATATGGTTAGGGCTTATATTTAGATGTCACCCCAAAGCATCATGTGCTCATAGGTGAGGCTTTTGGAAGTCACTGGATCATAGGTGTGCAATACTGGATCACTGCATGTGACACTGAATTAGTCCACTGACTGACTGAGCATAATGCTGAGTATGAGTGGTGGATTTTCTGAAGTGGGAAGACCCATCCTGGGAGTGGGTACCACTGACCAATAGCCTTGTAGCCTGGATGTAATAAAAAGGGAAAGAAGAAAGAAGTTTCTCTGCTTCCTGCCTACCATGCTATGGATTGTTTCGCCTCTGCCATCCCCCTCTGTCATGCCCCCCACCACCTTGAAGCCAGCTGACTTTGGACTGAAAACTCTCTACAAACTGTAAGCTAAAATAAACTTTTCTTCCTTTAACCTGTGGGTGTTGGGTATTTTGTCCCAGCAATGAGAAAGTAACTAAGACAAACATTCCATCCTCTTCAGACAGAAAAATACTATAAAGGCTTGTAAAATCCCTCACTAAGCAGTTAAAACTACTGGATAGCATTTTGGTCAAAGACACAGTAGATCCAACTGCACTTGGAATTTGTTAGCAATTTGCTAATTATAAGATTTAAACCAGTCATAAAAGGATAACTGGTCCACTTACAGAGGTGCTCCCCCATTACTCTACTGGGAATTGAAACCAGGGCCTTTGCACTGAGCTACATATCCAGCCCATTTTTATTTTTTATTTCTACACAGTATCTCACTAAGTCAGTACCTTTCTTCTCTCTCCTATCTCCTTCATTTATTTTCAAAAGCATTACCTAACAATTAAAAATTTGGACCCCTGAATGTGGTACAAGAAAATAAATACATATTATCCTTTTCTTTCATGCTTTATTATTCTGTCTTTGTATTATACATGGATTTTATTAACAAACTCACGTACGAAGTTCTAGCCTACTATGAGTTCTAGGTACCTGGTTTTTAGAAACTAATCTTGTAACTTCTCTATTTTTTCTAACGACATAATTTTATTAATTTCTTCCTACATAGCTAATTGCTCAGGTGTGATACATTTGAGTACCAGATTGTCTATTAAATAGAAATAATATTTGTGAACCAATAGACTTGATCTTAAATTGATGCTAGGTTCTTAATAGTAACATTGGGAACAGAAGTGGTTAACAACTAAGGTATTCCTATCACAACACAGTTGGTAGATTAGATCATTTATGTGAGTGACCTTCACTGGCACAAAAGGATTTAAGGAAGATACCTACTTCCATTCATCCATCCAACCCCTTCTTTATGCCGGTAATTTATTTTGTGTGTTTTGCTTCTTCAACAATAAGCAGGAGTAGACACAAGAAAAGGATTGTCCAAGTACTACTAATAAAAATAAGGTATTAAAACTAAAACACAGCAGTTGTATTAGGAAGATGTACTCCAATGTTTAAATACATCATTTTCAAATATTCTAGCAATATTCAGGGATCTATGTATAGCTAACTCATCACAGTACAGTTGTCATACAATTAAAAGCACATATTCAGAACAATAGCTAAACTCTTTAAAGATATGTACTGGTAGCCTGGGATTCTCTGGCTCTTCTGCTTTGACCAACAATTTACTTGAACTTGTCTCTTCAGCCTGTTTTCCTGTCTTCGGCTGTGTATTTGGGGGCACTTTTGATTTTGGCCCCACATCATTGAGGAAGCTGGCCCAGAGTTCATCTTTTTTTTTCTGTGCATCCTCTGACCCAGTGCCTTTCTCCTGCTCTTCTATTTCATCCTCCTCACTGCTGCTTCCTCCAGATTTTGCCTTGGCATCCTCCTCTTCCTCTTCTAACAAGAGGCCACTCTGTTTTCTCTTCCTGGCTGGAATGCTCTTTCTTTTTTTCCCTTTGATTTTCTGTGTCTGCTCTTCACTATCCACTTCATCTTCCTTCACTAATTCATTTACATCATCTTCACTATACTCTCCACTCAATGGCAGGTAGTCTTCATCCTCCTCCAAGAAGTCTTCGGAATTGAATTCTTCCACGTCGCTCCCACCAGAGGCCAGGCAACCCACAGGATTACAGCAGCTACACTAAATGGCCAAGCCCTAGGGAGAGACCACAGAGCCATGGTGGCAGCTACTATGGCCCTAGTAGCCTTCTGCATATTCTTTCAAAAGTGTAGAATTTTCTTGAGACTACATGACACATGATAAAATATTGACTGGAGAAGGTGACATGACAATATAGTTGTCATCTATTAAGCCACATATTAAAAATACTTGCCAAAATGTAAGACAATGCCACTTTTTGTTTTGGAAAATGCAGTTATTTTTCATAAATAAAAGAAATATTTGTGAAAATATATAGTGGGTTTATTATTTTTATTTTGAAGTTAATTTAAAAATATTCCTTGAATTTCTTGAAATTTTAAAGTAAATATCAATAGATATCATAAATAAAAGCATGCTGGAGTCCTCAAAGAGATCCCTCAAAGGGATCTTAAGAACTGCAATTTTGAGGACCAAGTAAAAGTGGGATTTTTGCAATCAGATTAGCATATTTTGGGAGATTTTAAAATTCAAATATGTAATTCTAAAGCCCCATGCTATATTCATTCAACAAAATTTCTTCAATGGCTATAATGCATGTCATTACACTGTACTATGTTTGTTTCAATTAACCACTGTTCATTTTGTTGGCTTCAAAATAATAGAGGGAAAAAGATGTTCATATGGTAAAACCATGGCATACTTTATAAGTACTATGACTACTTTGCCATCTTCTGTTCAGTAAAGAAATTGCAAGTTATCTTCATTATTTTATATCTACTGATTTTTATCTAGTTTTAACAATTGCTAAAAGGTGTGGAAATATGCAACTATAACTGTGGATTTCAATTCTATCCTTCAGTTCTACTAATGTATGCTTTGTATATTCAGAAGCTTTGTTTTCATGCAGAAACACAGTCTTCCTAATGAACTAATTCTTTTCATCATTATGAAGTCTTTTTTGTTCCTTTATCTCTGGTGAGAATCTTTGGTAAAGCTTTTTATCTGATATTAATATAGTCCAACCAAAAGGTCAAACCAATAATGTACCTTACTGTTGGTATAGTATACTTTCCCCTACACATTTACTTTCAACTTATTTGTCTTCAAAATATCTTTCTTATGGATATCATATAGATTTTTTTTTCTTTATCAACTTGACAATACACATACATATAACACACACAGCAACAATCTAGCTTTTAGTTAGAATGTTTGGTCCACTAACATGTAACTTAATTACTGAGACTAAATTTATGTATACCTTTTTACTAGTTCCCCAGGCCCCAAGTTTTCTGTTTGTGTTCCTCTTTTCCTTACTTTTTTTAGGTTAATCAAATTTTCTGTAGGTTCATTTTACCTATTGACTTTTTAGTCTTCCTCTTTGCCTTTTTTTAATGATTGTTCTGAGAATTATAGTACATATATCCTTAACTTTTACTTGCAATATTTAGAATTTGGAAAGCCAAATAGATGAGTCATAACATAGTTAGCAGAATGAATAAAGGTGAATATAAAAGCCATGTGTAAGATTGAGGGGAATCTATTAAAAAGCCAATTTGCTCATTAGAGTCCTCAAAGGTGCAAGAATCTTACACTCCAGGTAGTCATGAAAGCCAAAGCCTGTAAGCAGATCTCAAATTCAATATAAGAAGCCATACAATCCCTGCCCCTCTTTATATTCAATACAACCTAGTGACAACACTCCTAAAGCAACCCTGTGAAAAGTACAGTGTCATGCCCTGGAGAGAACAAATCAGAAAAACACTACACCCAAGAAAACAGAAACACCTGGAGTAGTTTTGAACCAAAAGCAAAAATCTACATGTCAAAACATTAAAATTCCTAATAACCTGATGCTGCACCTCAAGCTTCTAGAAAAAGAAGAGCAGGACAAACCCAAACCTCATACAAGGGAGGAAATTATAAAGATCAGAGGAGAAATAAATGCAATGGAGACTAAGAGAACAATACAAAAAATCAATGAAGCCAAGAGTTGGTTCTTCAAAAGAATCAACAAAATTGACAAATCCTTAGCCAACCTTCTCAGAAAAAGGAAAGAAAAGGCCCAAATCCATGAAATTAAGAATGAAAAGGGTGAAATTACAACAGACCCAGCAGAAATCCAGATGATCATCAATACCTACTTCCACAACCTATATGCCAATAAGATGGACAACACAGAAGAAATGGACAGATTCCTAGATACAGATGAATTAGCAAAGTTGAACGAAGAAGAACTAAAAATTCTGAACAACCCAATATCAAGCAATGAAATTGAAAATGTAATTAAAAACTTATCAACTAAGAAAAGGCCGGGCCTTGATGGCTTCACTGCTGAATTCTACAAGACATTTAGAGAAGAACTGCTGCCACTACTGTTTAAACTCTTCAATGAAATTGAAAGG